ACTCAAACTTAGTTGATAAAACAGTGGCAGAGTCTGAGAGAACTGATTCCAATTTTAAAAGAAGTACTACTGTGGGTAAAATACTATCAAATGGCATCACATGCTATAGAGAAATCTTTCTTGAAAGTAAAAGTCAATTGATGAGGCAAAATTCAATGTTGTCTTATTTTAAGAAATTGCCACAGCCACTCCATCATCCTTCAGCAGCCACCACCCTGATCAGTCAGTAGCTATCAACATCAAGGAAGACCCTCTATCATCAAAAAGATTATGATTTGCTAAAGGCTCAGATAATCATCATCACTTTTAGCAATAGTTAAAAATTAAGGTATGTACATTATTGAGGTTGACATAATGCTATTACATATTTTATATTCGATTACAGTATAATTTAAATGTAACTTTTATATGCATTGGGAAAAAATTCACATGACTCACTGTACTGCAATATTAGCTTTTATTCCAGTGGTCTGGACCTGAACTACAGTCTCTCTGAGGTATGGCAGTAGCATGATAACGTTGAAGGGTTGTAAGCAAAAGAATGGCATGATCAGGTTACCATGAAAGACAATAAAATCCACTCCAGCCGCAAGAAGGAGACCAGATCAGAGAAAGGAAAAGCAAATATGAGGACATCAGTTAGGCTCTTAGAATCAAGTCAAAAGATGATGGTATATATGGGGCTGGAGCTAGAGAGAATGCGTAGATTTAACTTATGTGAGTTCAGGCTCATCACATACTACCAAGATGAACTCGGGAAAGTCACTCAACTCAGACTTTCAGTTTTTCTTTTCAGCTGTAAAATGGGAATAGCAACCCCTCCCCTGCATACTCTGTAATGGCGCTCAGATGGAGATGAAGATGAACTGTAAATGATAATGGCTCTATGAATGTGAGAGGTTAGCACTATTGCCCAGTCCCACATGAGCTATTCTTTCTTCTGCTCCCCTCCTCATAACCATTACTCATCTAGATAGTACCAATGTAGAACAAAATGGCACTTTGTTGGCTTCATACATGCTGTTTCTTTTTCCCTTGCAATTACGCTGTTTCATTTTTAGAGACAGAGAATTTATTGTATACCTCTCCTATATATGCTCCGGTACTTAGCAAAGAGCACAGCACATAGTAGGCACTCAATATGTTTGCAGAGTGAATGAAAGAATGACACTCAACATATACACCTATTGGCTAAATGATCCCTCTCCCTTATCTTGTCTTTCTTCCTAACAGAAGTTCAGAATGAACCATAGGTTAATTTGCAATGTTCTCACCTTGTTGGAATGGTTGAGATTTGTGGCTCCAAAAAGGAAACTTTAAAATCAAGGATTATGTGTGTCCTCTAGGACATGTGGGTTTCCACAAAATCTCTTAGATGCTAGGTACCAGCCCAATAAAGCCCGCCAATTTTAGAAGCAGTAAGTGGGGAGTAAGAGAGGAGGATGGGCAAGGCGCAGTGGCTCAAGTATGTTATCCCAGCCCTTTGGGAGGCCAAGGTGAAAGGAATGCCTGAGCCCATGGGTTCGAGAACAGCCTGGGCAACTTGGGGAGACCTCATTTCCACAATAAGTCAAAAAATCAGGCAGGTGTGGTAGCGCTTGCCTGTAGTTCTGGCTACTAGGAAGGCTGAGGCGGAAGGACTGCCAGAGCCCAGCAGGTCAACACTGGGGTGGCTGTGAGCATGCCGCTGCACTCCAGCCAGGGCGAGAGTGAGACTCCAACTCAAAAAAAAAAAAAAAAAAAGAGAGGAGAATGTGGAGTCATTTCACTAGGGTTCTAGTCCTGTCTCTAAAACTTGTTAACTTAAGAGCCTCAATTTTCTCATGCATCAGATAGGAAGAAAAGTAGTTGCCCTTCCTACCTCACAATTACTGTGACACTGAAACAAGATGAGAGATGTCAAGGCGGATTTTGTCTCTTTGTTTTTAGCTCTAAAAATTAAGCATCTAATTTGTGCAGGCACCATATTAAATACTAGAGATACAAAGAGGATTCTCTTCAAGAGTTCATTCAGCTCGTGGTTTAAAAGGAACCAAACAAGCCAACAATTAAAATGCTATCTGATAAAAGCTGGAAGAAGATACAGCTGATACAGATGAAGATGATGGGGTCTGGGCAATGGAGAGAGGCTTCATGCCTCCTCTTTCCTATGAGTGTGGCAAGAAAGGACATGAATTGTCAGAAGTCATCAAGGAAGGTTCCCAGGAGGAAGTAATGATTAAACCTACCATAAGGTGTCCAGGAGTTGGGCAGGTGTAGAAGGTAAGAGAGGAGCATTCCAGACAATGTAAACAATAGAAACATTGCATTCATTCATGTACTCCACAAATATTAATTGAGCATATTACTAGCAAGAAACTCTAGAGAAATACAGGTAAATAAGATACGACGCAGGCTCAGGGGGCACACATTTCCCACATGAGCAAACAACCAGAAAAGGCACCTACAGCAACAGGGTGCGCTCATGATGCCCCACGTGGATCAAATCTAAAAGAACTTCAGGATGCTTTACACAATTTCCAGGTGAGGTCACATGGAGGGCGATGAGCATGGGACAGGCAAGAGGCACAGCACACAGCCGGGATAGGGGCAGCATCCAGCCTTTCCTCTTATCAGTCGTGAGATCTTGGGCTGATTACTGAACCCCTTTTCTTTCCATCTTTAAAAAAGAGAGATATCATTTTAAACTCCCTCAAAAGGTGCTTGTTGGGAAGACAAAAATGAAGTGATGGGTATAAACTATGTAGTGTAGTACCTGGAACACAATGGGTGCCCAAGAACTGTTAGGTGCCATTACCATCATCATCATTATTATTATTATCATTATTATTATTATTACTGTAGGCTTGACTAAGGGGAAAAGCATCTCAGACATCTGAACAACTTAGGGAAAAGGATGCAATGCAATTGCTCTCAAGCTCTCAGCTTCCTGGAGTCCATAAGAAAGAAAACAAAGGCCAGGATTTATTTTATGTCACCCTTTGCCCTAAACCAGTGCTTCTCAGAGTCTTACTTACATCGAAAGAACCTTAACAGAAAGAAGTGAGTGAACATGCCCAAGTAGTGCCTGTTCTGTGGCCTCTGACTTTTTGGTACTTCACCTTAGAAATTCATTCTCCTCTGTAATCTACTTATTTCTATTATCATCAGCACCCCCATGAGAAATCCAGTGTGTACACACTTCTAGGCAATGTTATAACATTTTATATGCACTAACTCATTTAATTCTCACAACAATCCTATGGAAGTAGGTGCTATTATCATTCCCATTTTCAGATAAGGAAACCGAGGCAAGAAACATTAAGTAACTTGTTCCAGATCACAAACTAATAAACACCGGAATGGGGATGTGAACCCAGGCAGTCTGGCTCTAGAATCTGTGCTCTATACTGGCTGGGCTACCACTCTAACATAATCCAGACAGTGTGCTACCTCTCTAATATAAAAATGCCTCCCTCCTTAAACCTCACCCCAGCAGTGATGTTCTGCATAGGTGTGTCATACTTATCCTGCAGCTTCTGGCACGTGGCCATACATCCATGCTCCGTGTGAGGGTAACAGCCTAAAACCCAAGAGCTTTATTCAGGTTTGCAATAGATCGCATTACTGAGGACAAATGCCCAGGGCACTTCTGTGGCTGACGGGACTCAAACAGATGATGGGCTGGCCGCCACTGGGAGATGATTAAAAATCCAGCATTTAACCAAGCTGTACTTCGAGTAGACCTTTTTTAAAGTAGCTTTTCAACAGGGGATTATATTTTCTTCTTGACAATTTCCTTAATGGCAAGCAAGGCTATACGTTAGAAGAACAAAGGAGACCCAAGGGTAAAGAGTAGACGACTCTCACCAGGGTGAGGGCTGAAAAGGGGAGTGAGGGGAGGAAAATTAAACAGGCAGAAGAGAAGATGTGCCCCTCTTTGATTCCTGTATAATCTCCCACACTGCCTGCCCACCCCTCTTCTCTCTGCCTTCTTCTCCGGGGGCACTAACAGCACCCCAGAGCTCATTAAAGTTTAAACCGACCGATCAATAGGCACAGAATGGAGAACTGTCCATCTGCAAATTACCAAGCACCTCATGAATATTTAAGAAACTAAACTAGAAACAGGAAAAAGAAGGAGTTCAGGACTTTATTTTTCCCCTCTGGAAAAGGAAAAAAAAAAAAAAGGATCTCAGCTATTCCTAATCACCAAGATATAAAATCAAACAGTTAAGTGAAACTTAAAACATGCGCAAGCATTTTTGCAGCATCTCCTCCTTTCTCAAGCCAGCAGGCTGAATCCAACCCAATGCCACTCAAGTAAACACTGTCTGGCACACACGAGAGATACTCTAGTCTGACCCAACTTCCTTGCTTTCTCAGAACACACCATGTGCTGATGCTGCCATGCCTTTGCATATGCTGTTCCCTCTGCCCAAAATGAGGTTCCCCTCACTTGTCCACTTCAGAGATGGGAGAATACAGTGATTATGAGCACAGCTTTGGAAGCAGACTGCTTAGGTTCTAGTTCTGCCTCTACTACTTACTAACTGTGTGTACCTGGATAAGTCAACCTTCTTTCTTCCTCAACAAAATAGATGTAGTAACAGTACTATCTTTACAGGGTCATGTGAGAATTCAACTGCTCAATGCATGCTCACATATTTTACACAGCATGTGGCACACAATAAAGGCGCAGTAGATGTTAGCTATACTTATCAGTGACGTCTTCCACAGTTGGTCACACCTCAAACTTCCACACCTCTGTACGTCTGAGTCCCATCAGGTTAGCTCTTTTTCCAGCTCCAGTCATAGTTACTTTGCTTCCAGCTTTTATCATACCATGTTTTAGCTTTGTATCCGTCTCTTCCACTAGATGACAAGCTCCTGAAAGGCAAGGTCTATGCCTTTCCCACCTCTGCAAGCTGTCCAAACAATCTGCGGCACCAGGTGGACACACAACAAACACTCAGCGGGTAGGAATGTGGGCAAGAAGAGAACACTAGTGTTGCCCATACCTTTGTGACAATGCAACACGCGGCCCAGATGTCCTCAGAGGACTGCTCGTGGTGGTTGAACTGGGGTTCCCACTTCTTAATTGGCTGGTCTGCAAAAGCCAGAAGGACTCCACTCTCATCTACCAGAGCTGCACGGACACTGCCGGTTCCAACGTCCACGCCCACATAGTACTTTCCTGGTTCTTGTTTTCCACCGGACATTGTGGTCCCTCCACCTGTGGTGAGAAAGTACAAAAGCCACGTGACGACCAAGTGGATCCACAAAGACAGTCATACGACATCTGGCGAGTAGAAAGCAAATAGGTACAGCTACCTCACCAGTGGTCACTCACTATTTATTCATCCAACAAGCATTTTTAGTGCTGACAGCATACTGACAGACACTGAGCTAGGGGATGGGTGAACAGACAGCTATGGCTTCAGACATGGTGCTGCCATTCTTGAAAGGAATCAGACATTAAGCACTTAATTATATAACTGTTTAGGCCGAGTTGTGAAGAATACAATAAGGCAGTAGTCCCCAACTGTTTTTTTTTTTCAATTTTTCAATTTTTTATTTTAAAATTGTGGGGTACAATTCAGGGTTAGGTATACAAATATTCATTGTGCAGGTATCCTTGTTGATGAGGTGTGCCCCCTTTCCCCAGGCAGTTTCCCATTACTGCCAATCCCACCTCCCCCACCGTCCCACACCCCCGCTGTTTCCTGCTACTGTCAATCCTTTTCTTATAGTATTACAATTGCTGTTCAAGGTCCAGTTATGAGTAAGAATGTGTGATACTTGATTCTTTGTTTCTGTGAAAGATCACTCAGTATTATAGACTCTAAGTCCATCTAGGTTGCTGCGAAGTTCATGATTTTGTTCTTCTTTATGGTTGCATAACATTCCATTGTGTATATGTACCACATTTTTTTAATCCAGTCCTCTTTTGATGGGTAGCACAATTGGTTCCATGTTCTTGCTATTGTGAACAATGCTGTGATAAACATACGTATGCAGGTATCTTTTTTATAGAGTGATTTGAGTTCTTCCCCAACCTTTTTGGCATCAGGGACTGGTTTCATGGAAGACGATTCTTCCATGGATGGAGGAGGAAGGAAATAGTTTCAGGATGATTCAAGCACATGACGTTTATTGTGCACTTGATTTCTATTATTATTACATTGTAATATATAATGAAATAATTATACAACTCACCATTTTTTAAAAAAAGGCATAGACAGAAGTGATAAATAAAATAATAGGCAGGCCATGTGAAAACTAAAATAAGAGTCAGATTCTGACTTAAAGCTTGCCACCAGATGCAGTTGTGCAATTGAAATACATCAACTCACTTGCCATTCACTGATAGGGTTTTGATATGGGTCTGAAAATAGTTGATTGATTATGGTCTCTGTGCAATCAAACCTTACTGCTAATGTTAATCTGTATTTGCAGCCACTCCCCAGTGCTAGCATCACCACCTCAGCTTCACCTCAGATCACCAGGCATTAGATTCTCACCAGGCATTAGATTCTCATAAGAAGCTCACAACCTAGATCCTTTGCATGTGCAGTTCACAATAGGGTTCACACTCCTATGAGACTCTAATGTCGATGCTGATCTGACGAGAGGCGGAGCTCAGGCAGTAATGCAAGCAATGGGGAGCAGCTGTAAATACAGATGAAGCTTCACTGGCTTACCCACTGCTCACCTCCTTCTGTGTGGCCCGGTTCCTAACAGGTACTGGTACCAGTCCATGGTCCAGGGGTCAGGGACCTCTACAATACAGGTTAGTACAGGCTGGTGGGAGAACTTACAATGTGGAGGCCAGTAAGATGAACTTATTGTCAGTGAATTTGACTCCACAATAACAGCAGTCATGGAACTGAAAAGAACCCTCATCTTCCTATTCAGTCATTTATTCAACAAATTATCTACTGAGCACCTGTTATGTACAAGCATTATGAAAAGTGCATCCATACACTCTACTCCTCACCATGACCTCACAAGGTGAGCATTTTTACATCTCTATTTTACAGGTGCTCAAGGTGAGACTTTAAGAGATAAGTGTCATTTTGCTTAATGCTAGGTCCACACACTCATAAACAGTAAATGTACATTATTAGATGCATATTACACTGATGAAGAAATAGGTCTCTGAGAAGTTAAGAAACTTGCCCAGTCTCACTTGGGACAGCCTGGATGTAAAGACCCACAACTGTGCAATCCCAAGTCTCATGCTCTTCCCCGTCTTTCTTGAAAGCTTGTAGTACAGCTTTGGAGAAGAGGCAAATATACTACAGCCGTGTCATGAAGTGACTGGGAATTGAGAAGAAACTCCAAGGGAGACAGGATCAGGAATTAGGTAGATAATCTGTTTTCCTTACAGAACCCTCACGAGTTACAAGGAAATCTGACCAGGGAACACTCAGGGATTCCTTGGCCTTCATGGCTGCTCTAATTCCCTCTGGTCAGATTAGCCCACACAGCACAGAATCTCACAGAGGCTTTTGTTTTCTAGACTGGTCTTTCAAAGAGTAAAAACAAGCCCCCAAGACAACTGAGTGGGCGAACATGCTACAGTTCCCCAGGTGAGCTCAGGGCAGTCTTACCATCCAGAATCTAATTTCAAACTGAGCAACATTTAGCACCCTTCAGCTTCAAAAAGATAGTTTCCTTGGCCAAGTCGCACTAAGAGATTCTAAAACAAAATCAGCTAGCAGACATTCAGTTACTGTTTCCTAGATATTTATCCCAGTACACCAACAAAAACCAACTCCATTAAAAGTGATTGCTTCCAAGGCCATGGCAACGTCTTCCCACCTTTGTTTCATCCTCTGGCTTTGTGGTTCACTGGATGGCGAAGAAGGAACTGGGGAAGCTACCGTCTTAACATGTACCACTTCATCTGAGCTGCAGAGAACAGCTCGCAGGCCCTCGCCAGCATGTGCTCTCATCTTCTCTCCCTCACCTACATCCCTCTGGGAGCTCCACATGACCATTATCACCAGTTTTCAAATCATTCTTTCCTTCATTCATTCAACAGTGATGCCTTTTCTTCAAGCAATTACTTAAAGAAAAAAGCAGAGCTGATCCGTTTGAAGCAAAGATCACTCTTGCCCCCTCTTCCAGTCCTTATCCCCAGCATTCCCTCCTCTGGGCCCTTTCTTGGGACAACTAAAACCACCAGTTTGGACTGTGATACAGCCTAAGGCCCTCATTAGCATCTCAGGCCCTATGAAGGCTTTCTTCTGCTTACTGTCCAGCCCTGGCTAATTTCTGCCCACAATCCATGCCAAGCTCCAAACATCCTCAAACTCCTCATAGGTGCTCAAGGCCTCCACACTGGGGGAGACAAGGCTGGATGCTGGCTGGCCAGGTCTGTGTAAGTTAGAGTGTTGTATAGATCCTTTATTTTTTGTTGATTTCCTAGTGCCTGGCACACAGCAGGAACTTAGTAAGTCCTTGTGACTCAACGAATGAATGGATATCTTAAAAACCCACCACTGGGAAAATAATAAAAGGTGCCAAGTTTACTATGTATCTGATTCTGCTAAATAGCTTGCTAACAATGCCACTTGTAATCCTGACAACGATTCTTGAAGACAATAACTATTATCATCCCCATTTTACTGATGAGGTAGAGTAACTTGCTCCAGTATGTCATATAACTAGGCAGTAATACAGTTGACAGTGATCCATTCCCTGGGGTTCCATAGTCCCTAACCTTTCTCAAAATGCTGTCCTGTCTCCTGATATTCCTCTATTTATTAAATACCTATTTCCAGGAACTCTACTAGGTTCCTGCCTACATCTTCAGAGACTGACCCTTCTGACATCAGGAGGCCAAACTCCGCAAGACATTCCTTTCTATAACACATGACCAAGGCATCATTCTGAAAAGAATCAAACCTACAGAACAAGGGAGCATATCATTCACATGTACCTCCCAGTTCGTGTTTTTCTATGAAATAGATCCTACTCAACTATTTCAGATTCACCACTTTTCCCATTATTAGAGTTTTAAGCAATCTCTTTGTAATTATTTCCACACCTGAGACCTGAAAGCAGGGACATTCAAGCCCTTGAGCAGCTTCTCTGAAACTCGACCTGTGAGTTGACAAGCTCTGCCAGGGGATTTTCTGCAACACCGATCCCTTGCTCTTCCCCCTCCATGCCCTTTGTTCCTGGGTCATAAGTACAATCTGCTGTGTTCTGAACTTCCAAATGTTACTCAGCCAGAACCTCTTAGCCTCAAAAAATAAAGTTACGGCAAAATGGAAAAGAAGTATTCCTTTTTCCTAGTTTGTGTGTGTTTGTGTTTGTGTTTTGTTTTAAAGATTAGAATCCTCATTGTGTCAATCACCTATCTCTACACAAGTGTTACTCTCATTCATGGACACTCAATCAGGTTAGTCAACCTATCACCACTCTATACTTCAGCAGGGTAGGGTAATCTGCCCACAGTCATGCAAACAGTAAATGGCACCAGGATCTGAACCCCAGCCTCCTCTGGCAAGTTTAGGGATCCTTTCACAATAGCAAGCTAAAATCGAAAAACAAGCTCTTTGACAACTTCTTCAGTAACAACATCAACAACAAACTACAGTAACAACTAGTATTGACTGAATTCTGTTCTGCAGATACCCACATGACTTCATGATTTCCTTTATGAGATCGGCAGTATGGGCCTCCTTTCCCAGGTAAAGAAAGTGGGGTCCTCCAAGATAAAGCTGTTTAAAGTCGCATGACAGAGGGACTGGGATTTGAGGCTAAGTCAGTGTGATTCCAAAGTCCAAGTTATGAATGGTGAGAGCCAGAACTGGGTTTTCATTTCATTCTTTTTAAACAAAGATAAATATTCCAGAAAGAAAAACAGCTGTTAGGGATATGGGGAGCGTGGTCAGGAAGAGAGAAATAAGGACATGGACTGTGGATGACCAAGAAAAAGAAAAATAACAGAGAAATTCAAGCTGTGCTGCACGCAAGTCCTGAAACATACCTAACTTCTCAGTCTCTTAAGACATTTCAAAGAGCAGAAGTAACCTCCTCTCCAAGTCCCCAGCATGGACTGGACTGACTTTTACCCCCTATTTATGATCAAAAGACTGTACTGTATGATAAATATTTATACAGTTCATTAAATAATAGCCTGTATAAATATTGTTAGAAACATGCCACAGGAAACCACGGACTTCGTGGCTGATTCTTCAACAAATGTGCAAGCTGCTC